TAACGATACATAACAAGCAACAAAGATGCACAGCTGATGTATCGGATCGATTTGTAGAATCGTCCCTGGACTCAGCGTGAGCGCCGCGCGGGCCCGATCGGCCGCATCCGGAGCGCGGCCCGGATCCCGCGCCCACTCGACTATTATCCTCCACATACGATAATGTGCGCGTGAAATCGCTCCAAAAATTAATGTTTCATATCAACTGTTAAATCAATCCATTCAATTTTAATTCATACTGTATTCGTTCAGGATAAAATAAAAAAGTGTTCATAAATAGCTTGCATTCACTCAGCACTTCATAAAACGCACTGAGCGGCAAGCCGCACCTCATAATAATTGCGGTCAAATACCTGCCTTGTCTAGCATAAAAAAATAAAAAATAAAAATAAAATGAAACAGCATGATCTCAGTGCGTAAAGGCACAATAAGATCATGAAGTTTCTTATAAACTTAGCTTAGTGCATGTTAAGCCTTATTCCAATGGCTGTGTATTTTGAAAGCTTCTATGAAAGCGATCGGTCGGCCTGACGCGGACGGGAGCACAGGCCGGCTGTGTCAGTGTGTGGAGTGCCAGTGACCGCTGTTGCAGGCCATGGACCCGGAGAGCAAGGCGGAGACGCTGTGCCTGCAGCCGGTGGCCGACCACGCCGCGCCGCTGCACAAGTAATTACTTCTCATTTTATTTTTACTGAATCCTCATAACGGTATTAATAGATAAATGTAGTTCTATACCTGAGAACTTGTCGTTTTGTATGAAGATTCATAATTATTAAATAATTTTAGTCAGTACTGACGACAAATCTGAATACAAAGAATACACATTACAAACATAAGTCATAGTAGTCATTTCAAGGTAAAGTCCTATATTAGGCACTATCTAAAATCACTCGTAACACACCTAAAGAGAAGGCACTAATATCCATTCGTCTATTTTTTCAGAGAAGAAGATGATTACGATCCCCACGTCCACAGGCAACTTCCTAAACCAACCAAGTAAGTAGCGAGTGGTTAGAAACTAAAATCACAATATTAATTTCGTTTACCATCAGCATTACATTTTTGTTCCTTTATTGAGAAGAACTATTGAAGAATAATTTATAAACTAATAATGTTTGGGCCACATTATTGAACTAATGTTCTGATAAAGATGGTGGGAACGAATGTCTAGTCGCCTTATACGACTAGGTATGTCTAAGGGATGTGTCAGGCATATCACTGATCATGTGACGCAGTCGTGATACTTGAGGGAAAACATTCGTTTGTGCAGCAACTTGGAGACGCTGGTGCACCTGCTGAAGTGCAGCCTGGGCACGGGCATCCTGGCCATGCCGCAGGCCTTCGCGCGCGCCGGGCTCGTCACCGGCGTCGTGGCCACCGTGCTGGTGGGCGCGCTCGTCACGCACTGCCTGCACGTGCTGGTCGGTCCCGCTCCTCCACCACCACCACCACTCCACACTCACAGCTAAATATACTACAATACAACTTGTTCAAATTAATAGCCTGAACGCGGGGCTTCCCCAACGGGCGTTATTTGCTCATTTTTTATCAAGCCACTACGATTACCAATACCATGCTATGGAATTATAGATCTACAGCAACTATAGGTTGCGGGAGCCAGGCAACGACATTTTAATATTGGAAAAAAATTCAGACTTACAAATAGTTTTCACAACTGTTTTATGTTCAGCTCTAGCAACACATTAGCCGACTTTCTAAACACGGCGATAAATCATAGTCGAGGGAGAGCGAGTTTGGTTCGAAGATTGATTTGCAGAGCATAAGTTGGAGGCGTGTGTGGCGCAGGTGCGCGCGCAGTACGGCGCGTGCAAGCGGCTGCGCGTGCCGCTGCTGTCGTACCCGGCGGCCATGGCGGCGGCGCTGCAGGCCGGCCCGCCCGCGCTGCGCCGCCTGGCGCGGCCCTCCACCGTCACCGTCGACGTCTTCCTCGTCGTCTACCAGCTCGGCATCTGCTGCGTCTACATCGTCTTTATCGCTGACAACATTAAAAAGGTCAGTTTTACCACTTTTTACTTGTTATTTATGCCGCACAGACATAATATTCAAATTACCAAACTTATAAACTTGTAGACTAGGTTATTTAGGGGTTTTTAATATAGGTACTTACAAATGGTTGAAATCGAAAGATGGTAACTAGCTCATTCGGCCAGTCACATAGTAAATTATACAAACTAACGGCTAGTTCAGATTTTTTGATATAGTAAACCTAAGCCTAACTGTAGTTCTAGACTATAATTGAATAAAAATTAGGAACCTACACAAATAGAGCCATTTGAAGCTGGCCTTTTTACGGAAAATTGCTATTTTTGACAAATTGTCCCGCTACCGTTCGGATCAAGTGTAATTCAACAAACTTGATCGTTATCGGCATGTCGTAGTCAGTTCAATAACCTCTTAGGTACTCACACAAAAGATGCCACATGCAAGTGTATACTTTTGAGTTGTTGATTGCTTCACTATAAATCATTGTGTCGCTTCAAATACTCTGTCCTTTGTGCGATTGTCATCGTTTTCAGTGAAACGTGCAGCTGTAAACAAGCAAGTACAGTGGACGAGTCAAAGGTCCGCGCTCGGGTAGCGTGTGCGCGGGCGCAATTGCCTCAAGTGGTAGGGCGTCGGCGCGCGGCGGCTGCGCGTCGATACGCCAATATCAATCAGCGCACGTGACGCACCGCACTCGCTCGCCCGTGGGCCGTACATCTAACTGTTACACGACCATTGATCAAGGGGAATGAATGAATCACATTAAACGACGCTGGCATGTTCACTGGGCAATTCGTGCGATGTCGATTTAACAGGATAAAGTCTTGTTGAATGTGATATCTTGATATCGTTTTACGAAACAGCGGCCTTCCTCGTCAAGTCACGTTAATAACCGCCTTGCTTAATGAATGCTAGTTAAATGTAAATACTGTGAAATTATAACTGGGAAGTCATGCTTATAATAAAAATTAAATACCTAGTTGTTAATTATTTTGTAATTAACTCCATCTCAAATCAAAATCCAACGAAAAATGAATTCAATTAGATCTACTAGAAGATACTGATTCCAAAATTCTAATATCAAAGATTTTTACTAAAATCGGTCCAGTAGTTTCGGAACTTATTCAATATGTTACGGTCAAAGTGATAAATGTGAAAATTATGAATAATCGCCGGTTATTATGAATAATTACCGCATGATTTGGTAAAAGTGATTAATATGAGATCATTCATGTGTGTATAAAACTAAATAGGCGGCTTAGGGGTGGCCCAAGGGCCACCCCCGCCGCACCCTAACCTATTTTTCACTTTAAATCAAAACATTATGTTATAGGCATCATGGAAAAGTAATATTATGCAAGAAACATTCCAAACTCATTATGCCAATTTATATTAATATATGATATCAAAACGTTTAAAAGTTTGGCTGTACACGAGCACGTACACAAGATGTTGTTCTCTTTTATGAAATTTGGTAGTACTAAGCTTGAATTATTAAATAATCACTGTTAAATGTGATTAATTTATCACTTTTACTGCGACTGACGGTAATTATTAATAATAACCGGTTATTATTAATAATTTTCAATTTATCACATTAACCGTAACAAATACAAACAAATATTTGAATAATTGAACATTAAGCAGGTTAGAGACGCCATCGGTTTTATAGCAGGTTTTCTGTGCGACAAGTTAACGTTGACACGTTCATTCGAATTCAGCGTTTCAAGACTTTTGTGTCCTTTTAGCTTCTCATTTCTTACTTTAGAACTTTTACATACGTAGGTACTTAGCAGCCTGGAATCTGAAGTCCGAAGTTTCGTTGCGGCTGGACATGTTGACGATTGCAATAATGACTGATTGATTTGATGTGACGGTGGGCGCGGCGTTGCAGGTGGTGGACACGCAGTACGAGATGAGCACGGAGGTGCACATGCTGATCATCCTGGGCCCGCTGATCGCGTTCAACCTGATCCCGTCGCTGAAGCTGCTGGCGCCGTTCTCGGCGCTGGCCAACGTGCTGACGTTCGCGGGGCTCGGCATCGTGGTGTACTACCTGGTGACCGGCGAGCGCTCATCCGAGCCGCTGGACCTGTGGGGCTCGCCGCACACCTTCCCGCTGTTCTTTGGGACCATACTGTTCGCGCTCACTGCTGTAGGAGTGGTCAGTATACAAAGTTTTAAAAAGCCATGACTTTATACTACACCCGGCGTCAAAGAAATCACACCTCCCGCGACAATAAAAAAAAACACTCATGGCGCTCTACTTGTACTGGTGTTATTTGAAAGCCCAATAAATCAACTTAAAGGAAAACTTGATTGAAAGTGCTTGTCGCGGGAGGTGCGACTTATTTGACGCCGAGTGTGTATATTCATATGCAATGCAATATAAAATCTTTCTATCATGCGACAATTGCGAGGGTGAGCTTAGCGAGGAAAAAAAGAAGATAAAAAGTGTTTTCTGTGAAAATTATACTTTATACTTTATGTTACTTTTATTGCCGCATATTTTCTTAGCGAATGAAATTTTTCTGATACAGCGAAATTGGCATTGCAATACCTGTAATAATATTGTCATACTTAGGTAAGTATTCACGTACAGATGCGTGGTTTGGCATGGCATCTTATTTAGTAATTGTTCGGCGCCTCCCAGGTGATCGCGCTGGAGAACAACATGAAGACCCCGAAGGCGTTCGGCGAGCCGTGCGGCGTGCTCAACGTGGGCATGAGCATCATCGTGCTGCTGTACGTGGCCATCGGCGCGCTGGGCTACGTGTACTGCGTGGCCGACTGCAGCGACTCCATCACGCTGGACCTGCCGCCCGGCCCGTGAGTACTTCACACGCCCGCGATGCCGTATAGTACGAGATAAGATCAGGTACCCTACGTCACTTAAATACTAAGATAAGCTCCATGGCACACGTTCAGTTGTGCTTACAATAATTAATAAACTCCGATTTGGCCGAAAGTAAAAAAATGGCTATTTCCGGTGAAAACAAAGTTGACATAATTAATGAACTTTTGCTCATGTCAACTTTTTGTTCATGCATGCAGTGTTTACCGTACTATTATTGTGCACTTAGTTTTAAGTTATTGTTATCTTTTTTGTAAGCATTGGTGTAACAATTTATTGGTAAACCAAATAAATAAATAAATAAACATGTTACGGAAGCTTTCAACCATATAAACCTTGGCAGACTATCATCATCATCATTTCAGCCATAGGACGTCTACTGCTGATCATAGGCCTCCCCAATGATTTCGTTGGTAGCGGCCTGCATCCAGCGCCTTCCTGCTACCTTTTTCAGTCTTTATCAGGTTTTTTAGCAGACTAATTTATACTGCAAGAAAGGATTTTTTCCTGGCGGCTTGGTGACTGGAATTGAACCGCCACCGGTGCAGACTGAGAAGATGGTGAATTGTCTGCACGTGGAAAAGAGGTTGTCCGGCTTGCAGAAATTTATATAAGTTACCGTTCCTTGTGTGAAATTAAAAAATGTAAATAAAACAGCTCCCTCTCAATTGACACAATTTATTTTTATCTCGTATACTCGTATATAGTTAACAATTACGATATTATAATAACTACTGTAATAGTGCCAATCTCAAGGGATTCAGGGTCGTTAAATAGGTTCGGTTTGGTGAATATTATTGCCACTACAAATTTCTTAAAACTCAGCCTAAATATTAAAAGACTCTACTAGTTAAGATAACTGCGCGATGTCAGGTCGGAAAGACTCCTACTTGAAGGATGGAAAAGTGGGTACCTTGGAAGCCATGCGGTTATAAGCCGTTACCCTGAACGTTCCTCTCTTCTTCCGGGGTCCAACGGGTCTCGCACACTTTTAGGTTACAAGCAGCGTCCTCCACGGCCTCAAGCGCGCAGTGCCAGGTGAAGCTCTTGCATCTCTTTGACAGGTAAGCGTTCAAACTCTTGCAGAGACAGAGGTTTGATGACAAGGAGGAAATGCGAAGAGATCAGCAGTTCAGAAAGGAGTAATAATTATAGAAATCAATATGAAATATTGAAATATCTAAAATATGAAATGTAAAATCGTAAAATATGAAATCCCGCATCTGAAACGAAAAATACTAGTGTCAGAATCACAAGTGGAACGTGGCATTAGGTTATGAAAAAAAACCGCAATGGGAAAGAAATACTTACGAAGACTGTTCGCTAATTTAAGCTTCACTCACAGTCTTCAGCAACCCAATACCCTCATCCGAATAGGATTTAGGGAATCTCTGAAAGAAACGATCACATGAAATAACCACGTACTGGAATACGAAAAATATCAATCACGAAAAATAAATAAATTCTCCGACGGGAACTTACCTCATGTGTGTTATTTTTATTTATTCATCAAGAAATTATCGTGGATGCATTTTGCACCACCCGATTTGAAATAAAAGGAATTACATTCCCGAAAATAATCAAATTGCGGTTGCGCACGATCGACAAATTCCTAAGTGATTTGACAGCTCCACTGACAGCCGCTCTGTCATAGACATCGCGATACGTTTCGTTTCGCCGTTTGAAAAAGTAAATACTGTACTAATAAAACCATGATGAAAACAATTTCCAGAACACTGAAAATATTCTATTTGAAAAATACACTGGTCAACAAAAAAAATAAAATTGTTTGTTTCCTGTGATTTTTTTTCTGTTTCTATCTCAAATTGACGCATATTTTTTAAATATGGCAACAGTTTTTCTCTAACAGCTTTTGTTTTTAAGTTATAGCTATCTACCTTCATTTAATATTTTTACTTAGATTTTTGATTTAATTGGACAAAAAAATATATTTTGTTGGTGTTTTCGATATTGCTTCGTTATGAAGATGTTGTGTGCTTAATCCAGATTGCTTCTGCTATGTTTGTGGTAAATATAATATTTGAAAAATGTCGAAAACCTCTATCGGATTTCATGAAAACTGCGTAACATCGACACTTTAAAATAAATATTTGAAATTAATTAATTAAGACCACAAATGGGTTATTTGTGTTCTGAGAATAGGTAACTTACTTTAGGCCAACAAAGGGACTACACAAAATTCCCGTTTCATGTGTATCTGGAATAGTCGTAACAAACAAAAGCATTGGTTACAAAAATTTTGACCAGTGCGGCTTCCTGCACACTCAACTTTTTGCTTTTCAGCTAAAGTTGATACAAACTATTTTATAAACATGCCTTTAGTTAGCCAAGACCGTATCACCGTACTTCCACCACTTTAGATTAACCTGGATAAAAAATGTGGATAAAAAAAAAAAAAAAAAAAAAATCCGAATAGGATTTAGGGAATCTCTGAAAGAAACGATCACATGAAATAACCACGTACTGGAATACGAAAAATATCAATCACGAAAAATAAATAAATTCTCCGACGGGAACTTACCTCATGTGTGTTATTTTTATTTATTCATCAAGAAATTATCGTGGATGCATTTTGCACCACCCGATTTGAAATAAAAGGAATTACATTCCCGAAAATAATCAAATTGCGGTTGCGCACGATCGACAAATTCCTAAGTCATTTGACAGCTCCACTGACAGCCGCTCTGTCATAGACATCGCGATACGTTTCGTTTCGCCGTTTGAAAAAGTAAATACTGTACTAATAAAACCATGATGAAAACAATTTCCAGAACACTGAAAATATTCTATTTGAAAAATAGAATAATCAATATAAAAACACTAGGAAATGTTTCATCAAAGTATATTTCAATTAACTGAGCAAAAAGGGCCATCTATTGCAAATTAATTCTAAATCACGCCAATAGATGTCGCTAGTGGTATCCAAAATCAGAATATTGAGAAGAAATATTAATTTGTGAAAAAACAGCAAACGGCAACGTTACAATACTTAAACGTCGAGTAGATATCTATCATTTGGCACTATGTTCATTTTTGTATCAGATGACGTAAATTAGGGGTCCAATTGCTATCTTTGAGAGCGTCAGCCAAGTACTTCCGGCCGTATAGGAATAGGAAGTGGCAGACTGGATTCATCCGTCACTACCAATAAAGTTGTAACTGATGCCATAAGTATTTACATCGGTATCAAATGACGTGAAGTGACCCGCTTTTTTACTGGACTATTTTTTGTGCTTTTGGCCAAATCGGAAGTATTTGAAGAGTTTTAATCAGAAGTTTTTTAATTAATTATTCCAAGCTTAGCACAACTTTTCTGAACGTGTGCTATGGAGCTTATTTTAGTTCCAAGTGACGTAGGGTATCTTACGGTCTCCTCTCGTACTAGTAGTCCGTAGGCCTCCTCTATTGTTACAGGCACAAAGATTTTCAACTTTTGCGTTCCATTTCAACTAAAATAGAGAACGGTTATCAACGAGTCATTTTTTTATGTTTCACGTTATATAGTCGATGTAGGAACCAAATTCACATTAAAATTATAAAATGCTGATCTAAATTAATTCGAAAATGTCTGCTCAAGAATATTCAGAGCCAGAAATTTACAGACTCTGGAGCCTTATCTCGTGCTTTCGTCCCAACAGGCTTATTAGAGGATACCGCCAGGATTTGTAACACAGGCTTTCATTGGGTACGCTATTTCAATTTCATGACATATAAAAAGGTTATAAGTGTACATTTGTCGTTTATTTACGTATATTTGAGCCAGAGACTTGGCTATACGAGTAGATGTTGTTGTTTTGATCACAGTTGCACGGGATATGCAGATTGCAGATTCTAATTGAGTGACATGTCCTGTAATTGAGTGACATGTCCTGTAATTTTCACATTAAGCTATTGCTGCGGTGCGTGTAATCTTTCTTGTTCCCTCTGCTGATTCGCGCTGCAATTTGTCTTAACAGTATAAGCTAACCAATTTTAGATAATAGTCGCTCAAGGATGTTATCATCACTATGCAACGGGTTTGAAGTGCAAGATTGCGCGTCCGTAGGGAGCGTGGTCACGTGGTCAGGGTCGCCCGGGAGCGCGAAGTCCGCGGCCGCGCGCAATTAGCCGCCGCCGCTCACGTGCCGCGCCTGCACCTCCCGGCGACATGATCGCCGTAATAGACCTGATTGCAGATGATGACGTCGACAGCTGGACATTGAGTTAACTGCCATTCATCATGTGTTGACAAGTTAGATGCGACTTCAACCATGGTCACGAGTTATTTCTAAAGAACATGTGCTGCTGGGTACCTACTGATAATTTTCCAAAATTTTTACTAGCTTTTATTCATCTTTTGTTAAGTACTTATGTTTTTGTTTAGGTTAGATCTAGCATTTTTAAATAGAATTGTACGAATTTAGAACCGTGGCGTAGAATACTTGAGACTTCCTCACAAGTATCCCACGAAACTAAATTCTTACAGAATGGCTCAGAATGATTTCTTTGCATGTTTCAATTTTCATAACCTAAAATAATATCCAGTTATTTTATCTTCTCTTATTCTAATATCTTTGGTTGAGAATAAATAAAATGCAGTTGTACTAAAAAGAAAAAATATTAGTATGCAAGATTCAATCAAATAATTTAGAGAGCTTGTATCGCGCATATTCCTCTTTTTTTCTGTTTGCGCTACAAGCTTTCGAAATTATTTGATTGAACCTTGCATACTATTATTTTTTACGTTTTAGTACAACTGCATTTCAGAATAAAATCTTGCTTTAAAAAAAGGTTTTTTTAATATAATTTTATTTTACACTTTTTAGTTGTATCTCAAACTCAGGCCCTGGTGATCATTTAACATTAAACTGCTCAAAAAGACAAATCCAACGAACCCAAACTCCATGTGTTTCCACCGTTTCGTTTAGGAGTTCCTATGGCCAACTCCCGAATCCATCATCAGGACCCTGGACATCATCTAGCACTAAAGTGCTCAAAAAGACAAATCCAACGAATCCAAATTCGATGCGATTCCGCCGTTTCATTTAGGAGTTCCTGTGGCCACCTCCTGACTCCATCATCAGCTCAATGGTACCATAACATTACATTGTCATCGTACTTACATAAGTTTACTACAGCTCAATTCCAAAATATCTCACCTACTAATGTACGCCACTTCTGCAAACAATAGGTATGATGAAAACTAAAAACCTTTGGTAATGTCGATAAACTTTTCTTCATAAATATAATATATTTTATATTATTCACACCGATGTGTACCAACTTACTGGATGGATAACTCAGTTTCCATAGTGCTGATGTGAATAAGTGCACTGCGTCGGCAGGTTGGCGTCGTCGGTGATCATCATGTTCGCGGTGGCCATCTTCATCAGCTACGGGCTGCACTGCTACGTGCCGGTGGAGGTGGTGTGGCGCGGCTACCTGCTGCCGCGCCTGCAGGCGGCCGGCTCGCGGCACCTGCGCCTGGCCGAGTACGCACTGCGCGTGGGCCTGTGCCTGCTCACCTGTGAGTGCGTCGTTGACGGGCATGTGCCAAGGCTGCATACATTGTATACCATCCTGTAAATCGTGCAATTTACCAACAGTTGTGGGCAGGACTCTGGTGTCAGAGTTGTAAGCCGCAATGACGCTCTACGCCCGTTTCCCATATTCAATCCTCGTCCAAATCCAGATTTCAACTGTTAAATTTAAATCTGTTTTCGATCAAATATCCATAATTTTTGATTTAAATAGTGATAAACAATATGAAAACGTAAAAACATCGAAAACCGTAGATATTTTTACCAAAACCATATTGAAATTTGACATTTGAGGGACGAATTTGGATTAGGATTGAATATAAATCCAGCTGATCATGCCAATAATCGAGATTAATCAAATCTAATTAAGATTAATCAATAACTTCCACCAACCAGATTTTTTTATTGGGAATCAAACGCAAGACTCCCTTGTATGTCGCGCTAGTTCAAATTTATAAATGCAGTGTTGCCTATTTATCCACTGACCTTAAGACTGACTTATTCAGTGGCGGCGTAGCATGGCTTGGCACCCGGGGCGGTCCGCATGTCCATATGAATTTAGTCTTACCTATTCAATATAGGATAAAATGCCCTTCAACCGTCATCAAGACCAGTTTCCGATACTGTAAGTCTTTTACGCGGTATAACCGTAAAACCGCAAAAATGCCCCCTTTCATGAACCCCCACCTCTGAAGCACAACTCCGCCTAAGTCTAAAACCTAGGATAGTCTTAATGGGAAAGAAATGAAGCGAGTAAAACAATAAAAACCTTTTGTAGGAATTATTTCCAGTTTGTTAAATTAATGTGTTTTATTCTACTGGCCTAACAAGGGCTGCAACGGATTCAACCATCATAATCTGTCATAATTTGGCTTATCACTTCGAGAATGAATAGGTTTCGTATTGTGTACATTAACGTGGCACGTCCACCTCAGTGCCCATTTCGCTGGCGTGGGAGCCGCGCTGGTGTCGGTGGGCGCGGCCGACTGACGGCGGTCTGTTGCAGTCGTGCTGGCGGTGGCGGTGCCGCGGCTGGGGCTGTTCATCTCGCTGTTCGGCGCGCTGTGCCTGTCGGCGCTGGGCATCTGCTTCCCGGCCGTGATGGAGGCGTGCCTGAACGTGGCGCGCCGCGGCCCGCGCCTGCAGCTGGCCAAGGACGCGCTGCTGTTCGTGGTGGGCGTGGTGGGGCTGGTGGCCGGCACCTACACCGCGCTGCTCAGCATCGTGCGCTCCTTCCAGCCCGAGCCCGTGCTCGCCGACGCCCACGCCCACGCCTAGGCCCGTGCGGCCGATGCCTTCCGTAACGCTTTCCATATACAAACTATTTACATTAGCTGTAAGTAGATAAACTCAATTTTGTTCACCCAATGTAAGTGCCTCTGCTACTGTTGCCTCCTTGTGAGTAGACAAGTTAGCTATTGTAAAATTTTGTAGGTAAATTATATTATTGAACAAACCAGTTATTATCTCCACCTATAGCATAATTTTATCATACTTTTTGTATTAAAGTAATTATTGTTACTAATTATCATACTGTAGACCTAGTGCATATAAGTTTTTGTATAGTTGTGTCAAAAACATCTGGTTATTACAACCGGTTTTTGGAACCGTTTCTTTGATTGTGTTGAAATTGGCGCATTCATTTTTTTTGTCTTTTTATTTAAGGAGCTTTGTGAAAATTCAATTTGACTGAAACATTTAAAAAGGTTTAACAGCACGAGTGTTCCAATGGCCTCGTGAATGGCCAAGCGCGCTCGCTGACCCAGCTGCTGCGGGTCCCCACACGAGCCGGTGAATGATGATGAAGAAGCCGACTCCTTGCCCAGGCCCATGCGGCGCCGCGGCCGTGGCTGTTGGCTCGGCCGCTGTTGCTGTTGAATGACCGCGCTGCCACTATTTATTAATTACATTTCGTGTTTGTTCATCGTTCATGGGAATATGTGAACTATTGCAGCATGTAAAAAGTAGAGTTCCATTAAGTGTATAATTCTTTACTACCGAAACGACTCCGCTCAAATATTGTAGATTTATTCGAATGATTCCGGTATCATACCACGTATCTAAGAATTCATGAAGTTGCTACATAGTGCATGTTATTGGGCGATAGAGCATTAGTAGTAGTAAAATGAAAGAACCAAAATATAACTTGTTTTAAGTCTAATGAGATGACGGGATGCGTGTTCATTAAAGGTCAATTTTATAGCAGACAAGACAGTTTCATATTTTTACATTTGGAGCAAATTGCGTGAATTCCAACAGCAATGCTTTACTACAGGGTGGCAGACTGGCTGAAGAATGCTTCATATTATTTGTAAATAGGGTTTATGTTATTGTTCAAGTAATATTGTTGCCATTTTTTGTATAGATAATATTAAATTTAAATAAATAGTTTTATTTGATAAGATTTTTATTTTTATTTGAGCATGCTTGTTAGATATTTGTACCTTACGGTAAACTCGTAGTCGGAATAAATCTAAAATTGTTAATAAAAATTAAATACGAGTACTTACAGGTTTTGTTAGTTTCTTTACTTATAGATTTATAGTTAATCATTAGATCTTTGTTTGATTATTTAATTAACAACACACATGCTAAAATAAGTTCAAAAGAAAGGAGAATTTAATTTTACTCTAACAATAGCATGTTCATCAAGATCATGAATGATGCAGCTTGCTAGGATAGAGTAGTATTATGGTAAGTACATCATTTTCTCTCAGTTTTCGCTGACAAAATCCAGTTCCGTGGTAAATCTATCAATATCAATACTTTACTACGAACTACGAGATTACGATGCCAATTAATCGTAAACTCTACGAATTCGACGCGTACGCGAACCTCAAAGTGCTACGCCGTAGCAGCAGACGAGTTGCAGCTGTTGAGTAGGCGGTGGCATATGCACGTTGCTGCATAAGTTACAAGAAGTATCCACAGAATGGTTGGGGTGCACATAATAAAGAGCGGAGCTTTTGATATTTTGTTTATTTAACATTAACATTCAGGGTGGGATAATAAAAACTCATGTTATGTGCAAGGTACTTTACCACAATTTATTACATAAAACACCGATCGAGAAAACGTATCAGCGGCTTGTAAAGCGGCCCACTAGAGGCCGTGAGGTCGCTAGTCGCTACATCCAGCGCTCGAAACATTAAGTACCTACGGTGACAGTCCGTTCATATCACTGCCGCTGGCGCGGCTGGCCCGCCCCGCCCCCACAAAAAAAAACAATTAAACATAATTACAACAATTAACGTTTATTTCAATCCATAGAACCATATAAATTAAACTCAAACAAAATACTACTCGTACATGTAAATCAATATGGTTGTATGTTGTTGCAATGTAGACATCAGACGGAGCCTCAGCAGAGGTCGTCAATAAATAAGGAGAGGTGCGGTAGGGCGGGTGAGGTGCGGGGAGCAGGCAGGTGGCGCGGCCCCGCCCCTTCCACTTACATATGCTTACCATACGTAGGTATATGCTGGTATATGCATTACCAAATGTTCTTACATACGATTCCTTCTTATCACTTAATATAACATTACAATAATATACCCATGTTACAATTTCGGGGAAACGATTTATATACCGTGTATGAATCAATACATATGAGTAATATTGAATAATTCAAGGTATGTATACTTTTTAACAAACAAGATGGAATATCAAATGCCGTTCCCGGCTGGTAAACATTATTTAAGTGTCCATTACATATAATATCATTTTGATATGAAACAATTATTTTCAAAGTCGACCATCACACCTTTGTAGTGTGAAGAGTTGGATACTTGGTTGTTGTAGATAGAGCTTCTTCGTAGGAGATACGTAGATAAAACACCAGACAATAGTTGATTAATATATTTGATGTTGTTCGTGCAACAGTGGTACAAAGAGTGAAGTAATAATTAATTGAATATAAAACGAAGACTAGTTATTATGACAGAATATTACAAATTAGGGATTGGTGCCGAGTGCAAAAGACAAAGAAAAGTTATTAGGTACATGATTAATCTGTCCTCAATATTTGGTACATACATGGTGTGATGAGTGCATAAAGTATGATGCAATCATATTTTATAATTAACTGAGTACAAAGTAGGCACAGTAGAATCCCTCACATGTAAACCTTTATAGAAAAAACATTTTATTGTTCTCGCTTTGTATTCATATAATACTTTCAAATGCAACAACTTCTTAGTCTTAGTTTATAAACATTTATTTTTTCTTCAATTCAATAAACATTCAATTGACTCATTTATCAACGACAAAAACCTACAAAAATATTATATTATAACAATAGCACGAGTCAAAGAGAGTGCAGGGGAACGTCCAACGACGCAGCGGCGAGTGGAAGGGCGCGGGCGCGGGCGGCGCGAGCGTCGAGCGCGAGCGAGGTTCGCCGCACGCTCGCGCTCGCGCCGCGCCCGCGGCCTTCCCGCCGGGCAGGGCGGGACTCGGGAGGGAGGGAGCGGGCGGTGAGCGGCGCGGGGCGCCGAATTACATCTAGAATGCGGGTCCTACCCATATCGACACAATACGCGAGTCTCTTTACAACTAAAAAAAATAATATAAACTTTCAAAACGTTAACAACTACAGCCATAACAAAAATAGACTAATAACGACTACACTACGGAATCTACTTACTACTTAAACTATTCACTAAGTAAATTTGAAACGAAACTAGTGTTCGTTTTCTACAGAAACGACAGAGGGTACGTACGGGCCCCGGGGCGTGGACGGCCCGGGCCCCGCTAGGATCTAATCTCATATGGAGCAGTCCTACAAGCGAGCTAAGTGAGAGACCAACGGCGCGGGCCGGCGGGCCGGGCCCCGGCGACGGACGGGTGTCAGACGGCGACCTCGTGGACCGCTTCGCGGCGTCGGGCGTCCGGGGCGGCCCGGGGCCGGCTGGGGCCTATTTACAACTATCTATATACAGAGGCAGCCACTACTACTGCGCATGCGCGAGCCACTTGAGCAATCTGCGTGCGGCGGCGCCGCGCCGGCGACGTACATTCAACATTAACTTGCGCGGACGCTGCGGCGCTCGGCGGCGGCACGCCACGCCAGGGGACGGGACACGACTAATCTCTTCAAAAATAATGATTTCCAAATTTGGTCCGTACGTCGTTGACTAACCCTGTGGTGTGTCGAACTGAGTCCGAAAGAAGGAATTAGAGACGACGGCAGGTCAGAGCTCGACGATAGGAGAGACATCGGAACTTTGGTTAAGATTTATCTATTAATCTAAGTCAATAAACTTACGGTAACTGCAACATTATTTAAACCTACGGTAGTCAAAACACATTAATTACTGTACTATGGTCTATGAAGCTAGGGCGATTCGGTCACATTAACAAGAAATAGGTATGTGGAGAATACATTTCAAAATAGATTAATAATAAGAAATCTTAATCTGTAACATGTAACATTGATCTATGTTAATACAATCGAACCGACTATTCTAGGTGAAACAACAGCGTAGGCGTGTGGAGGTTACAGCTGGAGCTCGTTCCCGCGACGAGCAGAAGAGGAGCGCTCGGCGCGGCGACGGCGGCTGCAGAGGTCGGTCCGGGCCCGGCGGGCCGCGGGGCCGGCGTGGCGTGCGGGCCGGGGCCCGCGGCTTCACGTGTCGTGTGCCGTGTTTGTGCTATGCGGGGTGGAGGGGGAGGATGGGCCGCTTACACATCCGCGTACTTAGACAATTTCTCGCGCAAGATGTGATTCTCCTTCTTCAGCAGCTCGACTTCTTGTCGCAGTCCCATATTCTGAAAAATCATACATAATATTTAAATAAATGAAATTCTACAATGTAGCCTAATGACTTCAGGGAGAAAAGTTGAATGAGCTTAAACAATAATTATTTATGTCTTCAAACTTAAGTAATATTAACTACCTATATAAATTCATTCATACAGCCACNAATTTTAAAAATATTGCAAAAACATTTTAATAATATTTTAAAATTGTTAGTATTTAAAAAAATACATTTAAGATGAGAAAAAAATTAATACAATTTAGGTCTCAAAATAAGATTAGGTAGAATATAAAAATGTTGTATAAAAATGTGTATAGTTAAAGTGATTAATGGTATAAAAAATAATTATAATATTTAGATTACATGATAGAGATTAATTAGGTACTAACGCAACACTTTTTCACTTTACATCACTTTTCACTTTTTGCACAAACACTATTCTGAAGTTGGCTGCCCTCATCAGGCAACGGTGTAGGCAGGAGCGCGCGGCATCGGCTGCTCGGGCCCCCTGCGGCTGGCTCGTGGACCTCGCAGTTCTCGCCTCAGCATGTGGGTGAACCGTTTTTTGCAAAAACGGAAACCCAGGGCACATATTGATATGAGTAATATGCCCACGATGACTATGGTTAGCATGTCCAACTTGCTATGGGTGATTTCGTGGAATAAATTGGTGTCTGCTTTATTCCCAGCTCCATTTTGTGCTATTATAACTTCTTCACGGCTCTGACTTTTACCCATGATTATTTTGGAAGAGTGTAGTTCGCTGATCGAAAGATGAAAGCGTAATGAGAATCATGAGATGAATTGATGAGCTTGTTCATCCAGCCATAAATCGCACTGAAGGCTTTATTAGGCGTCCAGATCGTGTTCTATGCTGACTGTTTTGATTGTTATTGTTTTCCATACTGATTTTGATATTAGATTCTGAGCTTGGAATGCGTGGGCTGGACTTATTTGATTGAGCGGGTTGGGTTTCTGTATCGCTGTGTACCAAAAATGCAGGCTTGAGTCGATCTATTGAAATAGATTTTATTTCCTCTGATACCATAACTTTGAAAACTTTTTTTCCATGTTCAATGACTTTGTAGGGTCCACAATAGGGAGGTGTTAGAGGTCTTGTTACATGATCGCAGCGGATGAAGACATGTGTGCATGTTTCTAGAGCTGGGTGCACAAACATTTTGTTTTGTCTGATTGATTTCCTTGGAACTGAAGATAATTTACGTAAATGCTCTCTTATGTTACGTAATAAGGTTTCGTTGTCAGGGATATTCGGCGTCGTCGGCTCGAAAAAATCACCTGGTAGCTTGAGAGTCGTTCCATAGACGAGTTCAGCTGCGGAAATGTGTGTATCGTCACGTAGACTGTTTCTTAAACCCAGCAGAGTAGTAGGCAATTCGTGTAACCAATTTTCGGTATTTCCACGGGCCATTAAAGCTGACTTGAGTGTTCTGTGCCACCTCTCGACCATACCGTTAGCTTGCGGA